GCAAAAAGCAAAATGGTTGAGACTTCCAATTTGCTTTTTCCCGGGCCCGGAAAAAGCAAAATGGTTCAGACTTCCAATTTGCTTTTTCCCGGCCGCGAATTTGCTTTTTCCCGGGCCGGGAAAAAGCAAGATGGTTCAAACTTCCAATTTGCTTTTTCCCCGGCCTGGAAAAAAGCAAAACTCTCAGCCTTCCAATTTGCTGGCTGGGAAAAAGCCATTTGGCTCACAGATTCCCAGTGGCTTTCTCCAGTCTGGGAGAAATAATTCGCAACGGGGGAGATTCGAGCCCACAACCTTCTGCTTCTGATCCTGATGCCTTCTGCATTAGGCCAAAGCTCCTTGATTTTAGTTTTAAATCTGATACAAACTGCTTATTGCTTATTTTTGGGGGCCTTAGGAAAAAGTTGAAGTCTGAACCAAATTGCTTTTTCCAAATTTGACTCAGACTTCCAATTTGCTGTTTCCTGGCCCGGGAAAAAGCAAAATGGTTTAGACTTTCAATTTGCTTTTTCCCGGGCTGGTCAAGACTTCCAATTTGCTTTTTCCCGGGCCGGGAAAAAGCAAAATGGTTCAAACTTCCAATTTGCTTTTTCCCAACCCGGGAAAAAGCAATCGGAAGTCAGAAGAGCAATTGTTTTTAAAGCAGCGTGGCCAGGTCACCAACATGACTTGCGCAGACCTTTCGCAGGACCTTCGCGAACCTTTCGCGACTGCAGTGAGAGCACACTCGAAATCAGCCTTTGAAATTCGATTACTAACAAGGAAGAGGTGGGTTTTTGAACGACACTCATATGGTCCTGATCAAAACCTTTGATCCTACCTAACCCTACCACAGGGTTGTGTGGGAGGTGGCCGTAAATGCTGGATTGACCGGGGGCACGCTGACTTGGCCACAACCTGGCACAAAGGCTGCGCGAGTTGCTTCGACCTCTGTCTTTCTGTCATGAGTAGCGCACTGCCAAGCCGGCAGTAGAATCTGCTTGACGGTGCAACTGTTGCCTCAAATGGAGCCAGTTTGGGCAGCGCCGGACCAAAGTTCCACAACCTCGTTGCACTAGCTAGATGGCTTGAGTCCGTTTGACAAAGTGCTGTCAGCCACAAAACAGGCAAGTTGCAAAATAGACCTTCATGAGAAGACATTGCGAGTAGGTTTCACCAAAATCGGATCATGCTGGACACAACAGCCCAACAAATGCCAGCACTGCAATTCAGGCAGGAATACCAAGGTCAGCAAGTAGAAAACCATCGCCGCTGCTTGAAATGATACTTTGTTTCTCGCATGTTCATGACTGCAGCTCTGTCAAGCAATGGTGGCCAGTGGAAAAGCTATATTGCACACCCAAAGGTGGCCAGCATCTCTGGCAAGCGAGCCTGTTATGCTCGCTACGACATTGCCTAAGCGTTGAAGCCAGCAGACTATGTACTTCAAGGCACGCGATATTTGGCATGCGTCCTAGGCGCATGATCGTTGGCATGCGCTTGCAAATCTTTTAAAGCTAAAGGCAAAAGAATGCAAAAACTAACCGTAATTACCTAATAATTCCCTGCAGTCGATTCCTTCCCGCATCATTGAGGTACGAGTGAACCGTTTCGTCGTGGTCATCCTTCATTGCCAAGACTGCCTCGGCTTCCTCCTTGCCCATTGTCCGCCTAATGTGTTCTAAAAGGGCCCAACAGGTGCCCCATCTGTTCGTCTCAGCCGCCAAGAGCAAGGGTGTTGCCCCATCGCCATCCCTTTCCTTGATATCAACTTTCTTCTCCAAAAGCTGGACAGCAAGCGCTGGGCCAGCGGAGTCATCGAAGCTTCCGGAAGTCATGCAGCAAACAATGTGCAAGGCGTTGCGTCTGTGGTTGTCCCTGTGCCCTGGATCAATGTCGCACATCATGGCGCTGGCAAACTTGTGTTTGCTGCTTCTCAGCGCAATGAAAAAGGGAGTGTACCCAGAGCTGGATACTGGTTTGTTGGCACTCATCCTCCCTCCGTAAACGCTGTCTTCTCCAAGGATCATTTTCCTCAATTTGTCAACGTTTTCTTCAGTCTCCTGCGCGTTGACCGACTGAGTTGGCTCAACCGTTGCAGAAAAGAACGCGTTGCATACTCCACCAATTTGTGCCTGGTGGGACCTCCCTGTTCAAACACCTCACCTGTTATCGGCAACGTTGCCGTAAACTAAATATACCTATATATAAATATATTTCTTTCTTTTTATATACTTCAAGAACCCTAAAGGTTTACGCTTCTTACTCTGTTCCAACATGACACTTGCGGTCTACAGCGGATCGGATTAACACGTCCATTTTGTGTGGCAGGTACAGCACGGTCAGATTTCCACACCCGATTCAATTGTAATACTTATAAGGCTTTCAGTGTGGAAGTCTGACCGCAACTTAGGTGTCGACATGTTGCACGTAGGATTCTAAGGGGAAAGGGTTTGTGATGTTTTAGAAATCAAGAAGCGCAACTTTTGGCACCCCAGTGTATGTATATATATATATATGACTCAGCTTCGCATCAGCCCTGCATTTTGGCACCAGGCCAGATGCACCATGTCAGGCGCAGCTTGTTAGAGAGTGCCATTTGTCATGGCCAGCTGGGAACACCGCAGGCATCGCACGCCTGATGGATTGAA